TTTTGTTACTATTTGAACCGCCTTGCATCTATTCCATCCCGCGCTGTAGTGTCTCCATTCGGAATCTAAGAAGAAATAAACTATTTACTTTAATTTTACCACTTGACTACAATTATTATTACTATTTTTTTGCTAAAATCATGTTTTGTTTTATATTTTCTTTAAAAAATTATTTTGGTAAATTAATATATAATGGTTCAATTTACGTTGTTGTTTAGAGATCTAAAATTCTGAAGCGGTTATGTCTACAATGTGTATACTTGTTTTTTTTTTTTTTTAAACACGTGTATACTAGTTGAAAATGCTTCTAATTAATCACATTCACTTTCAAATCCAATCAACAACTTCGACCAAGTTGACATAATTGTCATTGGTGGTGGACTTGATAATTCTATTAGTTAGTTATCAAGTTCAAGTTCTGACTAGGTTTATCGTGGAATTTATGTTCATATTCGTGATCTTACTCTAACAATTTATGCTATATTATAATGTGTTCTTTCAATAAATGTTTAAATCTTTCAACAAAATCAGTTGGGCTCCGTACAACGTTAGTATATGACATAATCCACCAGCAAAGGTCTTATTAAGAATTTAATATGCTTCTCATTCTTTCATTATATGTTGAAGAAAGAATGAGAAACATTCAAGTAAGAGAACTCTCAAAAACATTGCTTAACAATAAGAGAGAAAAAAAATACATCAAAGGCTGACTCCAACTCTATATGGAGTTAATTCTATTGTGTCCCTAATTCAATCACATATATTTTTTAAAATAATACATTAAAGGCTGACTCTGACTCTATATAAATTAAGGTTTAGGTCCGAGTTACAAAGTTATTAAAAAAATTATAAAAAAAAACCAGAAAGAAAAGAATGTAGAGAAAACCAGAATAAGTTTGTGGGCGGAGATATATAGGTGTACTCTCATCATCACCGTCTCCAGCCTTGAGACGTACATCAGCTTGCCATTGTTCTTTAAAGAGTTTCTTAATTCCATTAAAAAAAACGTCTTTGTTGCTCTCTGTTGCCATTGCAAAAGCAAATACGTATAACCTGAATTTGATTTGGTCAACTAAATATATGTGAACTACAATATAAGTAACGAGCACAGATTTTAGAACATGCAAAACTCGGAACGAAATCCAGAAGAAGTCCACTTTAATTATATGTAACGCTATGAGAATTGAGAAACGTTGAAGTACCACAACAATTGGAGGGGGAAACTGCGCATGGCCGGATTAGAGAAAATCTTTTAGATTCCCAATAGATTGGAACGCAAGGTTTTAGGGTTTTATAAAATTTAACGCGTTCATGTGGAACCATTGA